CCTTCTCCTTGGCCACTTGTGCATAAGTGAGTTGCATATCTTTCTTGCATTGTTCTATTCCCTGTGTAACTTCCTCCATCTGTGCTGACAAAAGCTGTTTCTCCTGTTGAATTTCCTTGCCTAACCTATTGTAGTCATTTATGTTTAAATTTACTTTAACTTCTTCCAAAGCTATTTTTAAGAGTTTATTTTCTTCTTCCATGGCTTTGCAATTTGTTTCCAATTGATTCTTATTCTTGCGCAAGTCTTTCACTAAACCCTCAAGACATAAAACTTTGCTATTCAAATGGTCATTACTTTCTTTCAATTTACTAATTATTTCTACATGAGAGTTCACTATAGTATCTAAATTTACCAACTTGTTATGTAGACTGCTAATATCAATGCTTTCTTAATTGAATCCCTCAAAATCAAGCTCTGTTTTGTTTTTCCCCTTGCCAGTGGCCATCTTGAATGTTCTTCTCTGCACTGTAAACACTAGGGCAACTTTTTCTCATCCGATTTTTCACTTCCCTTAGCACTTTCCTGTTATCTCACCTATTTTTCAAGAGCACTATACCTTTATGTTCTCTGGGACACCACTCACTACCATCAACCTGTACTACAATACTTAGGATTGTTGAAATATGCTGGAGCTCCTCTGCTGCAAGTCTGTGTGTGTGTGTGTGTAATTACCTAAGTGTAGTTACAGGATGAGAGCTACGCTCGTGGTGTCCCGTCTCCCCAGCACTCTTTGTCATATAATGCTTTGAAACCACTGACGGTTTTGGCCTCCACCACCTTCTCATTTAACTTGTTCCAACCGTCTACCACTCTGTTTGCGAAGGTGAATTTTCTTATATTTCTTCGGCATCTGTGTTTAGCTAGTTTAAATCTATGACCTCTTGTTCTTGAAGTGCTAGGTCTCAGGAAATCTTCCCTGTCGATTTTATCAATTCCTGTTACTATTTTGTATGTAGTGATCATATCACCTCTTTTTCTTCTGTCTTCTAGTTTTGACATATTTAATGCCTCTAATCTCTCCTCGTAGCTCTTGTCCTTCAGTTCTGGGAGCCACTTAGTGGCATGTCGTTGCACCTTTTCCAGTTTGTTGATGTGCTTCTTAAGATATGGGCACCATACAACCGCTGCATATTCCAGCTTTGGTCTAATAAAAGTCGTGAACAATTTCTTTAGTATTTCTCCATCCATGTATTTAAAAGCAATTCTAAGGTTAGAAAGTGTAGCATAGGCTCCTCGCACAATGTTCTTAATGTGGTCCTCAGGTGACATTTTTCTATCTAAAACCACCCCTAGATCCTTTTCTTTATCAGAATTCTTTAAAGATTTCTCACATAATTTATAGGTTGTGTGGGGTCTATGTTCTCCAATTCCACATTCCATAACATGGCATTTATTCACATTAACACTTTCGCGCTCTCCGCAAAGGTCACTCAGCCAACCGAATGTGCGCGCTGCGTTTTTATCGCTTAAGCGTAAAAACAAAAATGTGTATACTCTTTTTACTCTTCTGACCTTAGTTCTCATGCTACGTATTTCATTTGGGTACCAACGTGTTCGCAATAAAATTCTCTAGAAGAACATTAGTAAAATAAGTCACGAAACATATAGGGATACCAGCACCAAATAAATAACTACGTAGATGACTCGCCGTGAGCGCCCATCAGCAACAAAACGTTTTTACTCTTGGGATTGTAATCACCTCCACACTTGCTCTACAGCGTTAATTTTGGTATCAATGGACTCGCAATGAAATTCCCAACACGGTGATATGAATATAAGCGTAGAATAATGATGCAGCCCGCCCGCAAGAGTGTGGGAAGTGGTGAAATTGTTACCCGGTATCGGTGACGGGACGACGCACGGCGCTTTGAAAGTTTATACTTATTTCACTCTCATGACATTAATTTTCTATGTACGTCATTCATTTTTATGTCAATGTGTTCGCAATAGAATGTTCTATGTGCCCATAGGTAAAAAATATCAACAAAGCGTAAGTTAGAATAGCGACAAATATAAAACAACGCTGGAACATATCAGTGAGCGTCAAACACACACGAAATATTTTTACTTTTGTTATGTTTGTCAAGATTATACTTGTTGCACACAGTTATTTTTGGTTGTATATTGATCGGAATAAAATTCCCTAAACAGACATATGCATATAATACATGATATGGGGGAAGAATTACCAGTATAAACGGCTAAAGTCACCCACCTGCAACCCGTTTGGGACAAAATACCATTTGATCGAAGTTATCCACACCTTTCATGAACTTATTGTACCATGCAGCCTAGTGGTGAGAAAGAGAGCCTCATAGCGCGCAGTTTGAAACAAACCCAAAGTAAATCGGATAAAAATTGAATTTTATACAAATATTTTAAAAGTTGACATAACTTTATGTCCACTATGCGTTTACGTTAGACGAAACCGAACGCGCCGGCGCGTCCAGATAGCGCGAAAGTGTTAAATTCCATTTGCCAAGTGTTGCTTCATATACTTATTTTGTCCAGGTCTTCTTGAAGGACATGACAATCATCTAAGTTTCTTATCCTTCCTATTATCTTAGCATCATCAGCAAACATGTTCATGTAATTGTGTATTCCCACTGGTAGATCGTTTATGTAGACAATGAACATTACCGGTGCAAGAACTGAACCCTGAGGTACTCCACTCGTGACATTCCTCCAATCCGATACCTTGCCTCTGATTATGGCCCTCATTTTTCTGTCAGTTAGGAAATTTTTCATCCATGTTAGTAGCTTACCTGTCACTCCTCCAATATGTTCCAGTTTCCAGAACAACCTCTTATGGGGAACTCTGTCGAAAGCCTTTTTTAGGTCCAGATAGATGCAGTCAACACAACCATCTCTTTCCTGTAAAATCTCTGTGGCTCGATCATAAAAACTGAGCAAGTTCGTTACACAGGATCTTCCAGATCGAAAACCATACTGTCTGTCTGATATTATGTCGTTTTCCTCCAAGTGTTCTACCCATTTAGTTTTAATTATTTTTTCCAATATTTTGACTATTACACTTGTCAATGATACAGGTCTATAATTAAGGGGGTCTTCCCTGTTTCCACTTTTGTAGATTGGAACTATGTTAGCCTTTTTCCACACATCAGCTACAGCTCCTGTACACAGGGATGCCTGAAAAATCAGTTGAAGTGAAATGCTGAGCTCAGGTGCACATTCTCTCAGAACCCATGGTGAAACTCCATCTGGACCAACTGCTTTGTTCTTACTTAGCTCCTTGAGCATTTTTTGCACTTCGTCTCTAGACACCTCTATGTGCTCTATGTTGTTCTCTGGAATTCTTATTGTATCTGGTTCCCTAAAGATTTCATTTTGTACAAACACACTTTGGAACTTTTCGTTTAGTGTTTCACACATTTCCTTTTCATCTTCTGTGAATCTGTTTCCCATTTTCAACCTCTGGATATTATCCTTTACCTGCAATTTGTTGTTTATGAATTTGTAGAATAGGCCCGGTTCTGTTTTACATTTATCCGCTATCCCTTTTTCAAAATTTCTTTCTGCCTCTCTCCTTACATTGTTGTATAGTTGTTTCTCGCATCTTTGTATCGCTAGTATGTTTGTGGGTTTGGCCTCTTCCTATACTGATTCCATTTTTGTGTCTTTTGGTCTCTTGCCCTCTCACAATTTCTGTCGAACCAATCCTGTTTTCTGGCCCTGCATCTCTGTTTTGGTATGAATGATTGTGTGCCTTCCTCGTATATTTTTAAAAATTTGGCATACATTTCATTTACTTCCCTGCCTAGCAACAATTCTGTCCAATTACACTCACTAAAAAAATTTCTAAGGTCACCATAGTGTCCTCTCCTTAAATCAAGTTTATCAACTGTTTCAATGTCCCCATTTTCTTCTAGATGATATCTTAAAGCATAATCAATGTCTAACAGGACGTGATCACTCTTTCCCAAGGGAGGAAGGTACTGGATGTCAAATATCTCTTCTTCTTTCCTGGTGAATACTAGATCCAGTACAGACAGTACATCTCCTTCCCTCATTCTTGTGGCCTGCTTTATGTGTTGATACAAGAATGTCTCCAGAATGAGGTTCACAAATCTGCATGTCCAAAAGTCCTCCGTTCTTGCTTCATAGGCCTCCCAGTCTATTGCTTTGAAGTTGAAGTCCCCCAGTATCAACAGTCGTGATTTATCTTTATCTGCTTGTACAATAATATCTCTCATGACCATTATGAGACCCTCTCGTTTGTCATCCAGTTCTTCCTTTGTCCATGTGTTGCTTGCTGGTGGGCTGTAGGCATTTACAATTATCAGCTTATCATCCTGATTCCAGACCTGCAATGCCATTATGTCAATATCTCGAGGGTTTTCAAATATTAACTCTTTTTACCTTCAGGTGTTTTTTCACCAGTACAGCCACTCCTCCTCCCTTCCTAGTTTTCCTGTCACGTCTCCAAACTGAATAGCCTCTTGGGAATATGACTTCATTTATTATATTTCCGTCAAGTTTCGTCTCTGATAATGCAACAATATCTGGGACCCTAAGCTGGATTATATCTTGCAACTCCAAAGTTTTTGACCTCACTCCATCTATGTTGGTATATACAATTTTCAGGAACATGTTCCCTTTTCCTTTGCTCTTTACTCCCCCTTCCACTACTGATCTTGTTGCTTTGTTTTTATGTACCATTTCACTAGCTTTCCAGTCCCTGTCACTTTGTAAAAAAAAGGATTTCTGTCTTCTTCATTTCTATCCCCATTTAGACGTTTTGCCTCAATTAGGTTCATTTTCATCTTTTCTCTGTCTTCCTTGGAGAGGTCTTGTCTTATTGACCAAAGTGTGTTTGTGTTTGTTTTGCACATGCATCTCTCTCCTGCACCCATTGGTACAGTATTCTGTATTAGCCAAATTACATTAAAATATTATTGCAAACAAACATTTAATCTATATTTTGACATTAAATTACATGTATTTATCTTAGTGAAATGTTTATTATCTTGTTACAGTGAGCTCATGATGCATAATGGACACAGATGGGCAGCAGGGAAACAGAAATGGCCAACCTGGCCATACACACATTAACCAGCATGTACACGAGATCAGCCATGTGAATGAAGTTAACAGTGGTCCCTCTTCGCTAATCAACTGCAGTTCTCAAGAAAATAAGGAATATTGCCTCAGTCCCGTTCAGTTGAAAGATAACGATGATGATGTCTGTGAGGAGCCGTGTGCCAGTAGGGTATGGAAGGCTGAAACACTAAATAATACAACCAAAGATGAAGTTAGGCACGAAGAAGGGGAGGGGGAGGAGGAGGAGGAGGAAGACTTTGAAGTTGTGTCAGAGATATCCTTCTTGAAAGATGCGTCTTGTACTTCCTCACCGTCACGAAATTTTAAAAGCTCCTATGCTAAATCACTGGCTGATTCTTATAGGCGTGCAAGTTTACCTGTGGTTGTGTCTGGATCAAAAGCACAATTTTATTTTAAGAATGAAGAATTTCTTAGTTTGAATCCTAATCAAAAAAGGATATCAGATCTTAATCATGATAAGTTTATTAGTTTAAATTCAAGTAACGGTAAAACTACTGCACCTCGTAGATCAGAACCAGTGTCACTTCCAGCAATATTAGACATTGCACACGAGCCACGAGAGAAGGAGTTCGAAGGTGTTACTCCAATAAACATTTATCATCAACTGTTGGTGGATGGAGAGTTATTCATTCCATATGATCGGCTTCGTAGTGTGTGTGAAGAAAATGGTGGAAGTTTTTCTCTTCAAGATTGGCACAATTTTGGCTCGATAATTACAAGTAATGGCAGTAAGCTCATAAAGCTCTCGGGTAAGTAATTTCTAACATTTGAAAAATTATACTTTATTACATTAATTGAAGGAATAGAATTACATGTTTACCTGTAACCAGTTTCAGGAGTTCTTCTACTCATGCAGTCCAACTGAGGCCCAGGCATTTTTGATGACAATATGGTAGCAAGAAGTTTAACAAATTGTCCATTGTGATGAAATATTACAAATTTTTGCGTACAATTCCCCAATTCATTTTTTTGGGGAAGTAGTACCTCAAGGTGCTGCCACCCTCTTGTAGAAATTGTGCATTTCTGGGAGGAGCACCCTTCGGCTCCCCGGAGCTTACTAGGCTGATATGCTAATTTCAGACTTTGGCATCAGTCATGTGTATGGAGTTCTGTGGACCTACCGGGGACCACGAGCCAGAACCTGGCCCCCCTCAGAGAGGCATGTCCCAGGTAGGTAATCATGTCCCATGCCTAGGTAATCCCAGGCAGTAACCTGCCTGGGATTACCTAGGCATGAGTTTCCAGTAAGTGCTCAGGACCCTGGGAATCCGCAAAGGGGCGTATGGGTTCGATGGATGTGTCTCCGGAGTCTCCCTCGCTTCGTGCGAGTTCGAGGGTTGCTCGGTCCCCTTGACTCAGGGTGACCCTCACGGTTTTTGCGTCTGTCACGCTGCCTGTTGGGTCAGTGACACCTTTGACCTGGAGTCATGTGAGTTCTGTTGCTTGCTCGCAACTCAGTTTACCCAATCTCAAGATGATGTTCTACGGGTACAGGCGGTGCAGGTGTTGCATGCTCGGTTTAGGTTGTTGCAACACGCTAGGTTGGTTGCTCACCCGGATGCTCACCTCGTTTTGCTTATAGGGACCCGGACTTGGGGGTGGGTGTCGCTTCGACCTTGGTTCAGTCTGCACCCCCCCTCGTCTTTTTTGGTCTGCCCCGACTCCGAAACCCACAAAACCCTTTGTGGGTTTCGGAGTCGGGGCAGGGGTTAGATGGTCTTGAGTCTCGGGCGGTCTTGGGAGATGCCCCTTCTGGTGTGGTGACGGAGGCATTTGAGTCCAATCTCCCTTCTGAAGCCTCTGGGTCTGACCAGTGGGCCCTCTTTCTGTTCGACTTTCTTGGCTTGAGTTGGACCCTGCCTGGGGTTTTCTACCCCTCGGAGCGGGGCTTATTGTTACAAGAAGTGGGGTTCTATTTTTACCCTGTCTGCGTACGAGTTGAATTTGGCGTCTGCCCTTCTCCGGGTTCAGTTCTGTGTTCCCTTGGGTGCATCGGTTTCGTCTTTCCGGAGGTTTTCAGTTTTCCGCATCCAACCGTCTGAGGTGCGGGCATCCCTGTCGTCTTACCTCCAGCGTGACCCAGATTACTCCTCGGTGATGGATCCGTCGTCTTTCAAGTTTGGGAATCCGTTCTCTTTCTGGGTCCGTTACGAGATTCTGGAGTCGTCCTGGCTGGTGGACTGTCCTATTTTTGCTTTGGAGGCTTGGCATTTTTTCTGTCATTCACGCATGCTTGAGTGGCGCGAGGTCTCAACGGTGGTTCAGCTTTTCCTGGGGGGCGACCTTGAGCACCTCAATGAGTGCTTGTTTGCTCCTGCCCTTCACTGGGATGTTGGTGTTCTGCAGCTCATGTGCAGGTTCCCTCCCTTTCGGGTGCGCGGGTGGCCGAGGACTTGCATGCCCGTGGCCTCTTGGCTTCGACCTTGCTCTTCTTTTCCCTCCTGGAGCTGTCTTCAGACTGGCTTGGGGAGGATGCTGTCTTCGGACTGGCTTGGGAGGATGTGGGGGTGCTCGGGCCTTTCCGGGGTCTGGTGCCTTGGGCTCGGCGGCGCGCGGTGTCTGCCTTGTTGAAGCTTTTTGCACTGAACTTGTGGGATGCAGTTTACCTGTTCTACAGTTCCTGGCTCACGTGTCGGCAGGCGGTGCTTGCCTCCTTCTTGGAATCGGCTTGGGCCTTGGCTCTTAGAATGTCTTCGCCTTTTTGTCCTTTGCTTTTTTGCTCCTTCGGCCGTGGCGCAGTATATTCAGGCTGCTTTGGCCAGTTGCCGTCCTATATGGGACTTGTTGGTTCTCCGGGGGTCCCGGGGAGGGGGGTGGCATTCCCGGAGAGGTCATGCCAGGGCTCGGGGTTCCACTTGTCATGGTAGGCCATTGGTGCCAGTTTCGGATTCAGCTCTGCATTCGGACTCGCCTTCATCTGGTTGGTGCAATGCTCGCTCTGTGCGAGGTTCTGGGTCTCGTAAGGGGCGCCGGCCCTTTCGCAGTTCGCCTCGTTGACGGAGCGATGGGGGGAGGCTTGCACTGTTCGCTCATGCCTGGTCCCACGATTTGTTGGCGTTTCGGCTCGTTTCCTTCGGCCTGCAATGGCATTGGGTGGCCCCCTCCTCCTTCGTGGGGTTTGGGGGCTGGTGGGGCAGGCCTCTTCTCCTGCGCTCTGTCGAGTTGTTTTGGAATGGGTTCACTTGGGTGCCGTCGAAATGGCGTTGTCCCTCAGATGGGTTTCCCGTCTTGTTTCGAGTGCTGAAACGGGACTGTGCGGACCTGAGGTTCATTCTGGACTTGTCCCGTCTGAACCCCTGGGTTCATTGCCCCCTCCTTTCGGATGACTAAGCCTTCTCAAGTTCGGCTCCTATTAGAGCTGGGTTCTTGGATAGTGTCCCCGGACCTCCGGGACGCTTATTGGCACGTCCCGATTCATCCGGGGTTCAGGGACTGGTTCGGTTTTGTTTTGGGGCATCAAGGTTACCGCTTTCGTTGTCTCCCATTCGGGTTGAATCTGGCATCTCGCCTGTTCACACGCCTTACGGGTCGTTGTGGCTCGTCTGCATCTGTTAAGTGTTCGGGTGTTGGCCTACCTCGACAACTGGCTGGTTTGGGCTCCCAACAGGTCCAGTTGTCTGCTAGCCAGGGTTTTGGTGCTTTCCCAGCTCGCCGGGTTCGGGTTCTTGGTGAACTGGAGGAAGTCCCATCTGGTTCCCTCCCAGGTTTGGTCGTGGCTGGGTCTTGTGTGGGACTCCTGGACCATTTCCCTGTCTCTTCCTCCGGAGTCTCTCCGGCTGCGGTCCCGCTTGTGTCTGTTTCTGGGGGCTCCCGGGTCACTTGGCGGTTGCTCGAGGGTTTGTGTGGGAGCCTGAAGTTCGCGATGATGGTCTACCTGCCGGGTCGGGTTTGGCTTTGTCGGCTGTTCTGGTTCCTTTGGGGACGTCTCTTCTGCCTTTCTCGCAATCACTGGGTTTGCCCGCTGGGGGCTTTGCGTCGCCAGCTTCCTTGTCGGGTTCTTCGGAGTTCAGTGCCTTGGCGCCTACCCGAGCCCTCGTTCAATGTGTTCACGGATGCTTCGTCTTTCGGCTGGGACTTTGTGGCTAGTGCTCACCAGGCCGGCCAGGGGTGGTGGGGTTCGTCCTTCCGTCGAGCCCACAGCATGGTGCGGGAGTTTGCAGCGGTGTGGTTTGCGCTTTGGAGGGTTCGGGTCGCCCACGGATCGATGATCCAGCTCCATTCGGACTGCTCCCTGGTGGTTCATTGCCTGAACTGAGGGGGTTCAATGCAGTCCTTGGCTCTTTGGCACTGGTCGCTTCGGGTGATTCGTCTGCTGAGTTCTCAGGGTTTGGCTCTCCTGGTTGTTCATGTGCGCCGAGTGTCCAACGTCTTGGCCGACGGCCTGTCTCATTTCGTTCCCTCTCCACGGAATGGTCGGTTGATGCCAGCTCCCTCCATTGGCTCTGCCAGACGTTTGGGTGTCCCAAGGTGGTTCTCTTCGCGTCAGTGTGGTCGCGGCGCTTACCCTAGTGTGTGGTGCCCTTCCCCGATTGCGAGGCCGTTGGGGTCGATGCCTTTCAGCAGGACTGGTCAAGGTGGGGGTTCCTGTATCTCTTTTTCCCTGGTTCAGCTGTTGCTCCAGGTCCTGACTCGCTTGGAGACCTACTAGGGGAGAGTAGTCCTCTTGACCCCGTGGTGGCCGGCCCAGCCGTGGTTTCAGGTGCTGCTTGCCCAGTATCCGTACCTGGAGGTTTTCTCGTGGCTCCGCCTCTTCCAACCGATCGGCCCTGTGCGTCACGTGGCTGGCTCGATCTTCTCAAGTCTTCGCGTATGGTCTTTTTGACTCAGGTTTATCATTATCTCTATGATGATCAGGTGGCTTCTATGTTGGTGTCTTACCTGCGAGCTTCGTCTTGGGGGCAGTATGACGTCTCCTGGCGGTCCTTTCGGTTCTTTTTACGTCTTCGTCGTCCTGCTTCCCTTTCTGTTCGGGTGGTGTTGTCCTTTCTCTCTTGGTTGTTCCAGGACCGTCATCTTATGCCTAACACTGTCGCTTCGTATCGTGCGGCGCTGGCAGAGCCGCTTCAGCTTGCTTTCGGTATTGAGGTTACTTCTGTGCCGTTTCGCAAGCTGTCTCATGCATTGCTTTACCTCCGGCCTGCTCATGCGCCTCTTGAGCCGTCCTGGTCTTTGGACAGAGTGCTCTCTTTTCTTTCTTCTCCTTGGTTTGTTGTGGCCCCTTCGGTTCTGGATTGTTTCTCCATGGCTCTCTTTCTGTTGTCATTGGCCTCTAGGGGTCAGGGTTGGGGAGCTTCATGCTCTCCTCCGGCGCAGAGATTTTGCTCCTTCGGTCTTCATGATGGTTTTGTTCGTTTGCAGCTGTCTCCTTTTCTGGCGAAGAATGAGACTGCTGCTTTCCGGAGGGGATTCCTGTGTTGTTGATGCTTGGTTGGTCAGGCCGGGGTGCATCATGTTTTGTGTCCGGTTGTGGCTCTTCACCGTTATTTGTGCGCCACAGCTTCTGTGTCTGGGGACGTGCTTTGGGTTGATCCGGTTTCCTTTCTTCCCTGTTCGCGGGGTGTGGGTCTCCCAGGTCATCTGCAGGGTTATTAATTTAATTAAGGCTAGCCAGCCTGCGGTCTATCCGCGTGCCCATGACGGTTGTAAGTTTGCTGCTCTTGCTGCCGTCTTTGGCAACATGTCCTGGTCTGACATTCGAGTATGGGGTTTTTGGCGGTCAAATAGGGTCCTGGCTGCTCATTACCTACTGAACTTCCCTGGGCCTTGACGGGCCTGTGTCGCTTTGGGTCGGCGGTTGCAGCCAGTTGTCTGAACTTCGAATTGAGGAGTGAGCAGCGACCGCCTCCCGGGTAAGTCCCTCTATTTTTTCTCTGTGGGTAGTTAGCTCTGCAGAGCCGTAGGGGCTCCCCCAAAAAAACCAGCGTTGAATGTAATGAAACGCCAATTTCTGGGTGAGACCCGGAGGCTCCCCAGCATCCCTCCCTCCCTCCGGTTGGCGGTTTTTTGCGTGTTTTGACATCCAGCCTCAGAACTGATGGGTGGATAGCCGGCGTGGGGGTCTGGGGCTCCCCCTTTCCCCTCCTGGGACGGGGGGAGCTGCGCAGACAGCGGTGCGGCGACATGTGGTGTCATGCTCATTTGCTCGTTTCTTTTAGGATAGTTCTATCCACTTGTTCGGCTTTTGGTAGCAATATTTTCACCAGAATAGGGCTTTGTTTTTGGATGCTTACCTTTCTGGGGGCCTGACCCGGTCGATGACAGACATAGAATGCTTGCAACCACACGGAGGTTTCTATATGCCATTGCTTCCCATGCCTCTCTGAGGGGGGGCCTGTTCTGTCTCATGGTCCCCGGTAGGCCCACAGAACTCCATACACATGACTGAGGCCAAAGTCTGACATTAGCATATCAGCTCCAGGGAGTCTCCGGGTCTCACCCAGAAAATGGTGTTTCATTACATTCAACGCTGGTTTTTTGTATTATCAACTCTACATGTTTCTTAGTGGGCAGACTTCACATTGGTGAATACGACATACCTCCAAGGGTTCGGCTATAAAGAGGCTGCTCTGCATCGCACAATGATACAGTACATACAGTACTTACTTAAATTTCATCAGCTTTGTCGTGGCTTGCATAAGAGAAGGAATGCAGTCACAGTTGGGTAGAATATTCTAGTATCAACCTATATTGTACTCTTGTATTTGTTATATATTTATTTCAACTTCATACAGACTATATTTATTTTCTTGTTACGTAAAAATAAAAAGACATTAAACAAGATTCACCTGTACTGTAGACAAATTGTGTTAGATTCATGAACAATTCTCATAAACACTGGTAATTATCTAGGAGGTGCAAGGTGACAAACTTTAAGTACTGTAATTATGTAAATATTTAATTTAAGAAATTTTATTTGTTTCTGTGGAGAGCCCCTTTGACTCCCTGGAGCTATACCAGGTTGATGTGTATATATTAAACCATGGCAACAGTCAATCGATGGAGTTCTAAGCCTACTGGGGACCCTGAACCAGAACCTGGCCCCTCAAAGAGGCACAAGAAGCAATGGCCTATAGACACCCCCGTGTGGTTGGAAGCAGTGTATATCTGCCATCTACCAGGTTAGGCACCCAGAAAGGTAGGAATCCAAAAACAAACTTCAGTTGGTTAAAAATTGCAAACCGAAAGTCGAACGAGCAAGTAGAGCGCCCCAATCAGAAAACAAGCAAACAAGCGTGACATCACTGCAGCTGCTGCGCCACTGTCTGCACAACTTCCCTCCTCACCAGGAGGGGGAAGGGGTTTGACGCGAGTTTATCACCACTTGTATGGTGATCAGGTGGCTTCATTGATGGTGTCCCACCTGCGAGTTTTGTCTTGGCAGCAGAACGAAATTTCCTGGCGATCCTTTGGCACTTTTTGTCTCTTCGTAGATTCTCTTCGATTTCTGATCGGGTTGTTTTGTCCTTTCTGTCTTGGTTGTTTCAGGACAGTCATCTTATGCTGAATACTGTAGTCTCATATCGTGCGGCGCTGGTGGAGCTGCTTCAGCTTGCGTTCAGGATGTATGTCACTTCTGCTCCGATCTATAAGCTTTCTTGGGCGTTGTTTCACCTCCGGCCTGCTCATGCACTGCCTGAGCCATCCTGGTTCTTGAACCGGGTGCTCTCTCTTCTCTCTTCTCCTCAGTTTGTAATGGCCCCTTCAGTTCAGGACTGTTTTTCTAAGGCTCTTTTCTTATTGGCATTGGCCTCTGGAGGTCGGGTTGGGGAGCTTCATGCTCTCCTCCGGCGCAGGGGGTTTCTGCTCTTTCGGGCCTGGTGGTAATTTTGTTCGTTTGCAGCTGTCACCTTTGCTGGCAAAGAATGAGACTGCTGCTTTCTGGGTTGTTGATGCTTGCTTGGTTCAGTGAGGGGTACTTAATTTTTTGTGTCCGGTTGCGGGTCTTTGCCGTTACTTGCACGCCACGGCCTCCACGGCAGGGGGCGTACTTTGGGTTGACCCGGTTTCCCTTCTTCCCTGCTCCAGGGAGCGAGTCTCTCGGGTCGTCCGCAGGATTATTCAGTCGAGCCAGCCTGCTGTTTATCCCCGTGTCAACGATGTTCGTAAATTTGCAGCTTTGGCTACTGTTTTTGGTAATTCTGTATGTCGTAGGCTGACATTCGGGCACGGGGCCTTTGAAGGTCGAACAGGGTTCTGGCCGCCTGTACCTCGTTAATGTTCAAGCCCTTCTCAGGCTTGTGTAGCCTTGGGATGTAGGTTGCAGTCAGTTGTCTCGATTTTGAGTTGAGGAGCGAGTGGCAGCAGCCTCCTGGGTAAGTCCCACTGTTCCTTTATCTTTGGTTAGGTAGCTCCAAGGAGCCGAAGGGGCTTTCCACAGAAAACCAGCGTTGAATGTAATGAAATGCCATTTTCTGGGGTGAGACCCGGAGGCTCCCCGGCATCCCTCCCTCCCTCTGGTCGGCGGTTTTTCATGTTTTTTATATTCAGCCTCTAAACTGAGGTTGGGTAGCCGGCGCAGGGGATCGTGGGCTTCCTATTCCCCCTTCCCATGGAGGGGGGAGTTACACAGACGGGCGCGGCGGCTGTGGTGATGTCATGCTTGTTTGCTTGTTTTTTGATTGGGGTGTTCTGCTTGCTCCTTCGGCTTTCAGTTTGCAATTTTTAACCAATTACAGTATTTTGTTTTGGGAGTCCTACCTTTCTGGGTGCCTGACCTGGTAGATAGCAGATATGCACTGCTTCCAACCACACATGGGGTGTCTATAGGCCAATTGCTCTGTAAAAAGTAAATAAATATGTTCTTCCATTGTTCTAGGATAGGTGTAAATGCATTACTTAATTATGTCTTGTTTCAGACTTGAAAACAAAGTGGAATAAAGAGAGTCTGGATGTATTGCCGCCAAATGGTCATAAAACTAAAAATGGTTCTGATAAAGATACACAGGTCAGTAAATGTAGTTACTTGAAATTTGTAGTATTATACAGTACTTGATATTATTCTGGGCTATAGTTGTCGATCATAATACCTGTCGGAATGAACCCTTTGTTTTGGTAGTTTGGTAATGCTGACTGTGAAACCTTAGCAAATATTTATGTGAAGATCCTCTCAGTAGCTCCCTGGATCTTAAGCATTGTTGAAGCCAAGTCTTAAGAATTGCACCTGGCCTCGGACTCCCTTGATGGGCCCGATCATCACCAGATGGTGGTCCAGGTCACTCAGTTCTCCTGCCTCATTCACTTGCCTATTGATATCTGGGTTTCATCCCTCTGTTAGGAACAGTCCATCCATTTGAACTGATCGAAATGGCAACAGACTCGCTTCTAACAGGTTGGCACTCAATCTGTTATGGTTCAAGTGGTTGGGCACCATTCATTCCCTCTCCTCTTATTCCAGTTCCGATCCTGTCCTCATATCCCTTCCGAGTGCTATTCTTGAGTCACACTTAATTTGAATGGCCTCCTGATAATTGTGTTACCTCTGCTGGGACAACAGATCTGATATCTGGGGGGAGCCCTGTCGACTCCCTGGAGCTACCCAGGTTGAATGGATATGTATAACTTTCTGGCATCAGTCATTGTGCACGGAATTCTTGCCTACCGGGGACCATGAGCCAGGACCTGGCCCCCCCCTCAAGAGAGGCATGAGGAGCAATGTCCTATAGAAACCCCCATGTGGTTGGGAGTATTCTATATCTGTCATCGACCGGATCTGGCACCCAGAAAGGTAGGCGCCCCAAAACAAACCCCAATTCTGGTGAAACCATTGCTACCGAAAGCCGAACGAGTGGAGAGAATTCCCCAAACGAAAATTAGCAAACGAGCATGACGTCGTCGTGTCTTCGCTGTCTGCCCAACCTCCCCCTCCCCGGAAGGGGGAAGGGGGAGCCCCAGACCCCCCATCTTGAGGTTATCTTGAGTTGATTTCAGGGCTTCAGTGTCCCCGCGGCCCAGTCCTCGACCAGGCCTCCACCCCCAGGAAGCAGCCCGTCACAGCTGACTAACTCCCAGGTACCTATTTACTGCTAGGTAACAGGGGCATAGGGTGTAAGAAACTCTGCCCATCGTTTCTCGCCGGTACCCGGGATCGAACCCGGGACTACAGGATCACGTGTCCAGTGTGCTGTCCGCTCAACAGGCCGGCCCCTGCCGCTGGGTGGATCAGGGCATCCACCCTTCAGTTCTCAGGATGATGTGCTACTGGCGTCTTGTGCCTTTGGCTCCAGCGACTCTTCGCTGTCTGCCCAACCTCCCCCTCCCCGGAAGGGGAAGGGGGAGCCCCAGACCCCCCATCTTGAGGTTATCTTGAGTTGATTTCAGGGCTTCAGTGTCCCCGCGGCCCAGTCCTCGACCAGGCCTCCACCCCCAGGAAGCAGCCCGTCACAGCTGACTAACTCCCAGGTACCTATTTACTGCTAGGTAACAGGGGCATAGGGTGTAAGAAACTCTGCCCATCGTTTCTCGCCGGTACCCGGGATCGAACCCGGGACTACAGGATCACGTGTCCAGTGTGCTGTCCGCTCAACAGGCCGGCCCCTGCCGCTGGGTGGATCAGGGCCGGCGATCCACCCTTCAGTTCTCAGGATGATGTGCTACTGGCGTGGTCTTGTGCCTTTGGCTCCAGCGATTTGTCTCAGTTTCTGTGCCTTGTGGCATGTACTGTCTCTACTGGTGGTGTGGGAGCCAGGAGTAATATTCTTTGGTACTCGGGCTGCATGTGCCTAGGGCCACCTTCCCTAGGTGCCCTGTAAGTACTACCCTTGGGGTTTGGGGCCACCATCCATAAGTCATCTCCAGATCTACCCCCGCTGTGTCTTTTACTGCTCGGTACTGTACTTGGCCACCCTTGGAGTCAACTGGGGTCTTTGTTGCCGGTGTTTGCCTCTGGGTAGGGGGTAGTTTTCGTCACTGGTAGGGGCGCGGGGTACTGCACAGCTAGTTTTTACCTCTTAAAGCGGCCGGCTCTGTTACACCTGGGTATTGCCTCTTGCGGGGTTTTCTTTTGTTTTTGTTTTTCTGCCTGGTGAGGGGTGTCTGCCTTGGTGGCTGCCCCTTCTGTATTGGGGGGTTATCTTGAGGTTATCTTGAGATGATTTCGGGGCTTTAGTGTCTCCGCGGCCCGGTCCGCGACCAGGCCTCCACCCCCAGGAAGCAGCCCGTGACAGCTGACTAACACCCAGGTACCTATTTTACTGCTAGGTAACAGGGGCATAGGGTGAAAGAAACTCTGCCCATTGTTTCTCGCCGGTGCCTGGGATCGAACCCAGGACCACAGGATCACAAGTCCAGCGTGCTGTCCGCTCGGCCGACCGGCTCCCTGCCGGTGTATATATATCTATCATTATATCTGTTCTCATCTTTTGTGTTGTTGGTGGTACCCCTTGCTAGGCCCCCATGAGTGGACACATCCCAGGGATTCAGCTATCAGCAGATTGTTTGGTAGCCTTGGGCGCCGGGTCACAGTACCCTGCCGGGGCTTCTCTTAGCATGTTAATAAGGTTAAGGGTCCTGGGAAACCCCACAGGGGCTCCGTGGACCAATAGATGTGACCCTTGAGTCCTTTTCCTCGCTTCGTGCTAATCGGAAGGTTGTTCTGTCCCCTTGTCTCTGGGGAACAATCATTGGTTATGCCTCCGCCATGTTACCTGTTGGGTTGGTTAATCCTTTGGACCCAGAATCAAGTGACATTTGTTACCTGTATGAGCTCCAGTTCACCCAAGCTACTGTTCATGATATGAGGGTGCAGGCGGCAGCTGCAGTGCATGCTAGGTTTAGGTTGCTGCAACGCACTAGGTTAGTTGCTTCCATGGATGCCCCGAGACTGTCCCGTTTTGGTTTTAGGGACCCGGACTTGGGGGTGGGAGTCGCTTCGGCTCTGGTTCCATCTTTCCCCTCTCTCCTTGTCCTTCCCCTTCTGTTGTCCATCCGGTTCCTCCCCCCTTATTTCCAGCTCCGAAGCGTTTGAAGGTTTCGGAGTCAGGGCAGGGTTTAGTTGGCATTGAGACTCGGACCATCTCGTGGGAGTCCCCTTCTGGGATGGCGACGGAGGCATTCGAGCCTGGTCCTCCTGCCGGAGCTTCTGGGTTTAACTAGTGCCTCGTCTAACCAGTCTAACCTCCCTTCGTTCCAGCTTTTCGGCTGCTCCTGCCTTTTCTTTAGAGGTGGGGGGTGTGGAGGACAGCTCTGCCCTGGATCCTCGGGGTGAGGTTCCTAGGGTGGAGGAGGGGTTGACTTGGGAGCTTGGGCCCTGTTGGACCCCACTTGGGTTTTTGTACCCTTGGAGTGGGGCTTTGTGTTACAGGGTGTGGGGTTCTCTTTTGCTCCCTCCTTGTATGAGTTGGATTTGGCGTCTGCCCCCTCCTCGGATTCAGTTCCTGGCCCTGACGGTTCTTCGGTTCCATCTTTCCGGAGACTTCTGGCTTCTCGAGTCTAGTCGTAGTGGGTGCGGGAAGCCCTTGCAGCTTACCTCCTGCGCGACCCGGATTTTGCTTTCGTGAGGGATCAGCGTTCCTTTGTGTATAGATCTACATGTCCTTACTGGGTTCGTTATGAAGTTCCGGAGCTGTCCTGGTTAGCAGACTGCCCTTTCTTCTCTTTGGAGGCGTTGCCTTCGGCGGTGCGTGTGTCGTCTGCGCTGTTGAAGCTGTTCGCGCCGCTCCTGCGGGATGCAGTTTCACGGTTTTTTGCTTGTCAGCTTGCATGTCAGCAGGCGGTGTTCGCTTCTTCCTTGGAATCCGCTTGGGCCCCTGGCTCTTAGATTGTCTTCGCCCTTTTGTCCTTTGCTGTTTGCAGAGTCTGCGGTGATGTAATATCTGCAGGCAGCTTCGGCTAGTTGCCGTCCTGTCGGAATTGTTGATCCTCTGGGGGAGGGGGGGCTCATGGGGAGCTGTACCAGCGGGATTGTGCCAGGGCTCGGGGTTCTTTCTCTCATGGTAGGCCAGTGGTGTCAGGTGTGACACTGACGCAGCCTTCGGTGCTGTCTGTTTCTGTTCGACATGGGGATCGCTCTTTGCGCCGTTTGGGTGTTCGTAAGGTGCGTTGGCCCTTTCGAGGGTCATCCCATTGACGGGACAGTGAGGGGGGGAGGCTTGCTCTATTTGCTCGCCCCTGGTCCTCATGATTCGTGTGCCTTTCGGGTCATTTCATGCAGCCTGTGGGGGCGTTGGGTGGCTCCTCCTCCTCCAGGGGGGTTTGGGGGCTGGCGGGGCAGGCCTCCTCTCCTATGCTCTGTCAAATCGTCTCAGAGTGGTTTCGCTTGGGCATGGTCGAAACGTCCTCATCCCTCGGGTGGATCTCCCGCCTGTTTCCGGTCCCGAAACGGGACTGCGCAAACCTCCAGTTCATTCTGGACTTGTCTGGTCTGAACTCGTGGGTTTATTGCCCCTCCTTTCGGATGACTACTCTGTCCCCCAGGTCCGTCTTCTGTTGGAGCCGGGACGCTTATTGGTACATCCCGATTTATCTGCGGATCAGGGACTGGCTCAGTTTTGTGGTGGGACGTCAAGGTTACTTCTTTTGTTGCCTTTCATTCGGCCTCTCTTCGGCCTCCGGTGGGCTTGCATCGGTTGCTGCGTCACCAGCTTCCTCTTTGGGTTTTTCGAAGTTCAGTGCCTTGGAACCTACCCGAGCCTTGAGCCGGGGTTGGGGAGTAGAAGAACTCCCAGAACCCTATCAAGCAGGTATCAAGCAGGAGCCCTCACTCGATGTGTTCACGGACGTGTCGTCTCTTGACTGGGGCTAGTGACCAGTGCTCACCAGGCGGGCCAGGGGCGGTGGGTTCCGTCCCTCCGTCGGGCTCACAGCACGGTGCGGGAGTTTGCGGCAGTGTGGATGTCACTCCGGAGGATTCGAGTTAGTTTCTCGCGGATTGACGGTCCAGCTCCATTCAGACTGTTCCCTGGTGGTTCATTGCCTGAACTGCGGGGGTTCGATGCGGTCCTTGGCTCTTTGGTGCTGGTCGCTTCGGGTGACTCGTCTGCTGAGTTCTCAGGGTTTGGCTGTCCTTGTGGTTCACGTTCGGGGGGTGTTCAATGTCCTGGCGGACAGCCTGTCCTGGTTAATTCCCCTGTTCATGGAATGGACGATCGACGTCGACTCGTTCCATTCGCTCTGCCAGACTTTCAGGCCTCCGGAAGTGGATCTCATTGTGTCGGCGTGGTCAAGGTGTCTCCTGGTATACATGGCGTCCTTCTCTGACTGCGAGGCTGGCCGTCGGGGTCGATGCCTTCTTGCAGGACTGGGCGAGGTGGGCTTACCTGTACCTCTTCTCCCCCCCCCCCCTCCCGGTTCAGCTGTTGCTCCAATTCCTGGATTGCTTGGAGACTTACCAGGGGAGACTAGTCCTCTTGGCCTCTTGGGGGCTGGTCCAGTTTTGGTTTCAGGTACTGCTTGCTCGGTGTTCGAACCCGAGGGTCTTCCCGCGGCTCCGCCTCTTTCAGGAGATCGGTCCTGCCCATTACGAGGCTGGTTCACTCTTCTCCTCGAGTCTTCACATCTGGTCTTTCTGACTCGAGTTTATCACCATTTGTATGGGGCGCAGGTGGCTTCATTGTTGGTCTCCCATCTGTGTGCTTCGTCTCGGCGGGAGTATGAGGTTTCATGGCGGTCCTTCCGGTTTTTCCTATCATTGCGTAGGTGTACTTTGGTCTCTGATAGAGTTGTTTTGTCCTTCCTGTCGTGATTGTTTCAGGACCATCATCTTGCACTGAATACTGTCGCATCCTATCGTGCGGCGCTAGTGGAGCCGCTCCAGCTTGCGTTCGGTATTGATGTTACATCTGCTCTGTTCCACAAGTTGTCTCATGCGTTGTTTCACCTCCAGCCTGCTCATGCGTCGCGTGAGCCCTCCTGGTCCTTGGATCGAGTGCTCTCTTTCCTCTCTTCTCCTCGGTTTGAGGTGGCCCCTTTGGTTCAGGATTGTTTTTCCAGGGCCCTTTTTCTGTGGGCATTGGCCTCTATGGGATGGGTTGGGGAGCTTCATGCTCTCCTCTTGCGCAGCGGTTTCTGCTCTTTTGGTTCTGGTGGTAGGTTTGTTCGGTTGCAGCCGTCTCCTTCTTTTCTGGCGAAGAATGAGACTGCTGCTTTCTGGAGGGGTCCTTGGGTTCTTGATGCATGGTTGGTCAGGCTGGTGGTGCATCATGTCTTGTGTCCGGTTACGGCTCTCCGCCGTTATTTGCGCGCCACGGCTTTGGTGGTTGGGGATGCGCTGTGGGTTGATCCAGTTTCCCGTCTTCCCTGTTCCCGGGCTTGGGTCTCCCAGGTCGTCCGCAGGATTATTAAGGCTAGCCAGCCTGTGGTCTATCCTCGTGCCCACGATGTGCATAAGTTTGCTGCTTTGGCTGCCGTCTTTGGCAACATGTCTTGGGTTGACATTTGGGCACGAGGTTTTTGGAGGTGAAACAGGGTCCTGGCTGCTCGCTACCTTGTCAGTGTCTTTAGACCTCGTAGGGCCTGCATTGCATTGGATCAGTGGTTGCATCCAGTTGTCTTGGCTTTGTGTTGAGGAGTGAGGACTGACCACCGCCCGGGTAAGTCCTTGTTTTTCCTTGTCTTTGGGTAGTTAGCTCTGGGGAGACGACGGGGGCTCCCATTAGAAAACCAGCTTTGAATGTAATGAAACACCATTTTCTGGGTGAGTCCCAGAGTCTCCCCAGCATCCCTCCCTCCTTCGGCGGTGTTTTCACATAGTTTGACATCCAGCCTAAGAACTGCAGGGTGGATTGCTGGCATAGGGGTCTGGGGCTCCCCCATTCCCCTCAAGGGGAATGGGGGAGCTCCAGGGAGCCCCAGGGAATGGGGGATCCCCCTCCTCTCCCCTCAAGGGGAGGGGAGGGGGGTTGTACAGACAGCGGCGTGGCAACATGACAATGTCATGCTCATTTGCTAATTTTTGTTTGGGGAGTTCTGTCCAATCATTTGGCTTTCGGTACCAATAGTTTCACCAGAATAGGGATTTGTTTTGGGACGCCTACCTTTCTGGGTGCCAGATCCGGTCGATGGCAGACATAGAATGCTCCCAACCACACGGGTTTCTATAGGCCATTGCTCCTCGTGTCTTTCTTGAAGGGGCCCGGTTCTGGCTCATGGTTCCTGGTAGACAAGTACTCCATGCACATTGACTGATGCCAGAAAGTTATACATAGCCATATCAGCCTGAGTAGCCCTGGGGAGCCTCAGGGACTCACCCAGAAAATGGCGATTCATTTCATTCAACTTTGTTTTGTTTTTCCTGGTATGAAGGGAAGGGAATTATCAGGAGACAGTGCCAAGCTATTCTGACTATATAGCACTTGAAAGGGATGAGGATAAGGATTTGGGATTGGACGGGGAAAAGGTATGGTGCCCAACCACTTATAGACGGTCAGGGATTGAACACAGACCTGCATGAAACAAGACTGTCTCTCTACCATCCAACCCAAGTGGTTGGTCACCATTCCTTCTCCCCATCCCATCCCAAATCCTTATCCTTATCCCTGTCCTAAAACTTGATTAACCCTTAGACCGCACAATACATATATAGATGATTTGAGTAACAAAACCGGAACTGCTCAATACAGTAATAGCTGTTTTAGTGTCTAGCGCTTTTAATTTAAACACCCCACGTGGGATAGGGGCAGCTATAGTGCAGCCACGACCAATAGTTGGCAGACGCCACCTAAAAAAAAATCGTGGCCAACATTCCTGGGTGTGAGAGCGTCAGTACTGAGCGAGCCACCAAGGCTGGTGCACGCAGCATGAGCTCACAGCATAGCTGTTCAGCTTGTGACCACAGCATTGCCTAAAAATGTCAAAATATATATGTAACTTCTATTATTTAGCGATGATAGTATTACAGAAGACCCTTGACTGTGATAAAACTGACCAGGATTCTGATAATAGCAGGATTGTGGTGATATTTAGCGCTGTGCTCCATGGTGGGATGAGTAATGCTGAGGGAGGGAGGGTGGTAGCGTCGTCTTCTGACTGTGTGTGTGGCCCACCTTTACTAAGACTGGACTTACCATACCAGCTTAGTGGTTTGCTATGGTGAACACAAATGTAGGTACTGTACTTGTATGAAACATGTGTATTGAGTATAATAACAGCAATAGGAGTATGTTGGGAGCCGCCATTTTGGTGGGGGAGGTGCGTTGTCTGCATGACATGTCTTGTTGTTTACTGGTGGCCACTATGATCTTTGGGCACCATACCAGCTTATTTGTACAGGTATGGTGAATAAAACATGTAGATACTTATAAATAATATGTGTATATAGTGTAATAACACCACAAACAGTATTGTTGGAGGAGAAATATTAGTGCGTCTGGCCTTGAACCAGTGACGGCAGCAGCCATCAGCTGACTGTGTGTGTAGCTACATCTCTTATTGCTTGAACTCACCATACAAGCTTAGATGTACAGTTACGGAGAACAAAACATGTAGATACTTATATTTAACGTCTGTATATAGTGAATAAAAGCAAAAACAGTATGGTTGGAGGAGTATGTTGGCAAGTAAGGAGGTGAGTGAGGAAGTGGTGGCGAGTGGCTGGCTGACTGGTGAGTGAAGGCCACTCTTCGTTGCTTTTTGACTCACAATACCAACTTAGTGGTTCCTTATGATGAACAAAACATGCAGATACGTATGTATAACATGTGTATATAGTGTAATAACAGCAAAACTATTTGTTTATTGTTTTATGAACATAATAATTGAATCACTAATATGAACACAATAATTTTGAGTACAGCAATGGTTCACACATTTTATTGTATAAATATATCACAATACACACTATTGAATAATATTACTGCAAAACAACAAAGAAAAAATCAGAGACATTGGAATAAGTAGGTAATAGTATCTTTGTGGCAACCCTCGCCTGACAGCTCGGGCGGAGCAGACCTTGTCTGGTGACTGCTCTGTCAACGCCTCTTTTTTTTGTAAGACTTCTTCGCCCTATTGCGCCCAAAATATGCCACCTATGACATTTTTTTACTTTTCCCGTGATCAGGGAACACAAATGAACACTTCTATAAGACGAAAGAATTTTTGGGATTTTTTTTTTGTTGTGACTGTGATTGTTGAAGGCAAAATGGCCCTTAGCAGCCCAAGGGTTAATGTCTGGAGAGAGAAGTTAGTAGAGTTTTGGTGATGGCCAAAACTTTTCAACTTCTTAACAAGGTTTTTCAGCTGTGCTTGGCTGTGCCGGTTTTGTCATAAAAGTCACTCATCGGGCAACTAGGCAAAGAAGCACAGGGAAATGGTTCTCTTCAAAGGTTTGGTTTCACCTCCTGATACTAAGGGGTTTTTAATATCTATACATTGGCATGGCCCCAGAACAAGGCTTTGTATGTAGTTAGTCACTCAGAGCTGTCTGGAGTTGTTTCTGTAATTGCTTCCAGGGTTATGATACATCAGAGTAGGAGTTACTGTTGACATGGGTGCTGCCATAAATACTGTGAAGCAGCAATTTTGATAACTAAATCTATTATTAATTTTTTATTCCTTTATTAGAATGGTAACCAGTATGACAGTAAACCAGACAGGTTTTAACAAGGAAACTAAATAGTTCTTAATTGTAGTGACCTAAAATTTGCAGCCATTGCAGAATGTTCTTACTGGCCATTGAATGAATTGTAAACTTGTGCCATTTTACGAAGGTGGAGAGTCTGTTGGTGGAGCGTGAGCAGTCCGAGGGGCGTATAGGGCATCTATGTGAAGTACTAGCCGACCGGGATGCCACCATTCAGCGCTTGGAGGAGGATTTACTCCGTATCAGAATGGTTAGTATTTAACACACGCTAGCATTTGATTCATATATTTTCATAAGTTCAAGTTCAAGGAAGTTTATTGAATCACTGAAATACATCTCAAAAGGATAGAGTAGCTTAGGATATTTCTACCCTCTTCTATTGAAGGTCCCTCAAGGGGCTCACAAATTCATACAGTAAACAACTATTAATCATATTAATAATGAGATAATGAGGATGGAAATCAACATACAAAGTATTGGGAATAGTCTTTCAGAGGTACATGTAGCTTCAGCAATTAGACTAAGAGAGGCTGGAGATCTAAAGAATTAATCCTCTCACTTCAAAAGGCAGAAAGAAATGTACAATGCATGTTAAAGTATAGAATAAGGGAGCATATACGAGATCGTTATGTTCTAATGTTACAATGAATGTCATGTATGTTACGGTGATGTCATTCAAGAATGTATTGCTATTTAAAACCAAATGGACAGTCGTTCAATTCCATCTTGCTCATCACTTGTACACCACACCCACTTGTACACCACACCCACTTGTACACCACACCCACTTGTACACCACACCCACTTGTACACCACACCCACTTGTACACCACACCCACTTGTACACCACACCCACTTGTACACCACACCCACTTGTACACCACACCCACTTGTACATAGTACTTATTAATCATACGACCTCCTGAATCCTGGAGGAGGTTGCCTAATATAGGTTTTGCTAGGTGGTGCAACATACCTAAAGGTCTGAGTATAAAAGCACTCTTACATAGTTTGAGTCAAATTAGTAAAATCCTAATATATGTACATAGACATGGATACATTTTTCAAAGGTCTTGATTCAATATGTAAACGAGATAAGTCTTACACAAGGTCATCAAAAATGCCCAGCTGACACCCCCTCAACACATCACAGTGTGGATTAATCGTAGAACCTCCTCAGTCCTGGAGCAAAAACTGTTGTTAACCACTGTGCTGCTCGGGCTCCAAATATGGTACCCCCCCCCTGTGTGCAGAACGGGGGGTACCAATAATAAATTCCAAATAACCAATTTGGGGGATACCAAATAATAAATTCTTGGCAAAAATTTTTTTTTTTTTTTTTTAAATGTTAAATACCCTACCCTGATCACAGATATGTAAAAAAAATGAAATTGTACTTACTTTGGCCACAATGGGGTCCAGAAAATGGCGTGTGACGTCACGATTTGGTGGCCGCCCGTGGCGTAGACTCCCGGAGCCAGTTGCCCGCCAGCTTCAACATGTGCGAGTTGCCACAAATATTTTTTAGTTAATTTTTTGCGTACATTTCCAAATACACTTGTTTTGTTTTTTCTTGCCAATCCTATGTATAATCAACACGTACACAATATTATGGCAGAACATCCGTACTGTCCCAAGACACTGTGTTATATTTGTCACAAAAGTGACCATAGATATTGCTCCTACATAAATCCAATGTTTCATGTTCATTTAAGTATATTTACAACATATTTACACACTATACACTATCATACACTATATACATTCACCATCAACACACTCAGAACTCCGCAAGTGTGAGCTGCCACACCCAGCCAGCCCTACCTTACTCCTCCAACACCTTACTCCCCAACATTCCTCCTCCCTCCATACTGTTATTGTATTTATTACACTATTTACACACGTTATGTATACATATCCACATGTTTTATTCGCCATAGCTATGCAAGTAAGCTGGTATTGTGTCCAAACAGCATAGTGGCCACCATACACTGCATGAGAAATCACACAGCAGTCATCAGACGACGCTTCGAGTACGACGTCACCTCCCTCACCAAAATGGCTCCTCTCAACATACTCCTGTTGCTGTTATTACACTATATTCACACACCGTATATACCCATGTACAAATGTGTTCACCATAGCGAACCACTAAGCTAGTATGGTGAGCAAAACAAGAGTGGCTGCCACACACAGTGACACTACCTCGATTCCCCCTCCCTCCCTCCCTCACCAAAATTCCTCCTCCCACAATACTACGCACAGCGCTAATTATCACCACAATCCTGCTATTATCACAATCCTGGTCACTAAATCCTGTAAATGAATAATTGACCACAGGTTTGTTTTGTAAAAGGAACATAAGAAGTTGTTTGAAGATTCCTAGATGGACGAAATAATGTTGTGGTGCTGTGGCTAGCGCTGTGAACATCTTGAACAGCATTGATTCACTGATATTTGAACATTGTACACAGTCATTATCACACTCAGGCTCTTCTGTAATACTATGATGGGCTAAATAATACCAGTTACATATATACAGTATATTGACATTATTAGGCGATGCTGTGGTCTCAAGCTGAACAGCAGCGCTGTGAACTCATGCTGCGTCTGCCAGCCTTGGTTGCTCACTCAGTACTGTAAGGGAGCTGAACCTCACATTCCTGAAAAACAGAAGAGTAAGGGGAGACATGATAACCACATACAAAATTCTCAGGGAAATTGACAGGTTGGACAAAGACAAACTCTTTAGCACGGGTGGAACACGAACAAGGGGACACAGGTGGAAATATAGTACCCAGATGAGCCACAGAAACATTAGAAAAAAATTTCAGTGTCAGAGTAGTTAACAAATGGAGTGTATTAGGCAGTGATGTGGTGGAGGCAGACTCCATACACAGTTTCAAACGTAGATTTGATAGAGTCCAGTAGGCTCAGGAATCTGTATGCCAGTTGATTGAGAGTTGAGAGGCAGGACCATAGAGCCAGAGCTCGACCCCTTGCAAGCACAACTAGGTGAGTACACAGAGTCAGTAGATGCTACCTCCCTCAGCATTACTCCTCCCACCATACTATGCACAGTGCAAATTATCACAACAATCCTGCTATTATCAGAATCCTGGTAATTTTTATCACAGTCGGGGGTTTTCTGTAATACTATCATTGCTAAATAATACCAGTTACATATATATTTTTTTCATTTTTTAGGCGATGCTGTGGTCACAGGTTGAACAGCAGTGCTGTGAGCTTATGCTGTGTGGTGGCTCACTCAGTATTGAGGCTCTCACACCCGGGAATGTTGCCCATGATATTTTTTTAAATGGCGTCTGTTTACAAGAGCCCTGAGGAAGCTGATGTGAACCCCCATGTAGCCACGGGACTTTTAAATCTTGTGTGATACTCCAGAACATCATATGATGTGCGCAATTTATCGACAGCTACTCAAGACATCATATGATGTTTTGCGCAGTTTAAGGGTTAAACGAGAGAATTGAGTTTACAAAAGAAATTTAAAGCTTATTCCAAATTCATTTATACAAAAACATCACAGTTATTAATCGCATTTTGCCTACTCTCAAGTAACCAGTTAAGATATACAGGATCAATTTCAGAAAATTTAGTTATCAGTTCATCTAAGTTCGTAGCAGAATAAGATCAGGGGCAACAGTGGAAGGCCTATTGTTCCATACGAGACAACACCAGTGTATACCCAACCAAACTCATTTGTGTGTATGTATTTACTATTTGTATTTACTACAGTACAGTATTTGTATTTGCAGAATCAAGCTATTAGCTCTTGGACCCTGCCTTTCCTAACCAATTTATTTTTCCTCTTATGTCTACTAAATATATTTCTCTTTAACACACACATCCCCAGGAAGCAGCCTGTAACAGCTGTCTAACTCCCAGGTACCTATTTACTGCTAGGTGAACAGGGCAACAGAGTGAAAGAAACTGCCCATTTGTTTTCGCCATGGCCGGGGAGGTTGAGGCATAATCCCACGTCTATTTCCTTGTAATTTGTTTGGTAAATCATAAAACCTATTATCAAACCAACAAATGTTTGCCCAGGTCTTTTCTGAGTATAAAATTGTAAATGCAATTAACAAAAGCAGAATTTTTTCAGCTTCAAGTAATATTTGCAATTAATGTAAAATTCTAATTGGTAGTAAAAACATAGAATAAGGAATGATTGTCATAAGATATGAGGTGTAAAAGTATGTGACCTGTAATTGTCATTAGATATAGGTTGTAAAAGTATGTGACTTGTAATTGTCATGATAAGTTATGTGGTGTAAAAGTATTAGTAATGAGCAAGGAAAGTTCAGCATCTTTTAAGTGAATTAGAAGAATATTCTGTAATGACGAGAACAGGAAGGTTTAAGAAGTTAACATACGTGATGACTGAGAAAAGTATGAGATGATATCTGCATATAAATGAGGAACAAGGAATGGCAAAGAACAAGACTAACAGAAGCAGTGTGTCATCAAGTTTTCTATAGTTATTTTGTACGCAGACGTGGCATACATTACTAACCAGAATGTGATTGAAGAGCCTTAACAATGCTGTCATACATACATTCTCATCTGTTGCATAGATGACTAGAGAGCTGCTACAGTGCATAGTGAGTTATTGAGTATTCATCCACATAAGGTGGTCGGTGTTTTTACAATGCTAACCAATATAAATACAATACATACATTTTTTGTCTGCCTTACATAGATTTAGAATCTGTTCTTACACAGAGTACAGTTAGCTATTAAGTACTCAAGCGCACAATGTGATTAATGTTCATTTACAAAGGTAATATGCAATTTAACCATCGTATGCGTTCTCGACTCACAATCAAGAATCCTAGGTACAATCCCCAAGAAAGTCAGAAATGGTTAAGCATGTTTCCTTTCACGTGATGCTTCTGTTCACCTAGCATTAAATGGGTACCTGGGAGTTATGTCACATGGAACTCATTTACACCATGTCTACAAAACAACAAATATACTCGTATGAAACTTGTTGCAGATTTGTGGTACTACATTTTCATCACACTGCTGAGTGCAGAAGGTGGTGTGACTGGTTAGTTTTCATTACGAATATATTAGTCCACTCTTTATCTATAACAGTGTACAATACTGGGCAGTACCTTTGTTCCTGGGTTGGTGTCCTGTCACTCTGCAGTGATAATACGTATAGTTGAGATGGTGATAATGAGATTCCATAAACAAAAGAATTACCATTTTCAAAAATTTGTTATAATGTTCAGTGTCTTGTTCTGGCAGGAGTGTCAACGTCTTATAGTGGACAACCGAAGTTTGAAGAGTAATTTCAATAATTCGGGAGCACAATCTGGTGGAGGTGATTCGGCTACTGAGGTGTCCAAATTGCAACAGCAAGTGCAGTTACTTACAGCACAACTTAACAAGGTAATTGGGGACCTATGTTTCCTATTTGCAACTTACACTTCTAGGACTTGTGTTGAGTAGTAGGTGATTCAAATCACAACTTTTATACCTACAAGCACTTGCTTTGCTATATAAAAAATTTCACTGCTGTCAACAAAGTTCCACCCACCTACTGATCTTTAAACCTCCCACAATAGTTTGTCGTCAGTCTAGTTATATAACTAACTTTTTTCCAAGTCCATAAAAGTAGCATGAAACTTTCCTCCCATTGATAGAAACTTTTCATCCACCATTCTCATTGTACATCTATTCCTTCTTCCTAAACCTACCCTGTTCCTCCTCTATCCTACATTATGTTATCTCTTTTACTTCCCCCCCCCCATAATGCCCAAATACTTCTCAACTACCTTTTTATTATAAATATGGGGATCACAATATCCTTGGTTCAACCATTTAGCATACCGCCCATGTGCCACACTGTCTGTCAAGCGTCAAACAATATGTCCGCCATCACCTCCCTTGCATTCCTCGACTCACAATTGGGGATTGAGGGTTCAGTTTACAGGCGGAATAGAAATGATTGGACATGTTTTCCTACACCTGATGCCTCTGTTCACCTACAGGTAACAGTAAATAATTACCTTGGAGTTAGGCAACTGTTGTGGGTTGCATCCTGGGAAAGGTCAGCTGTTGGCCAAGGGACACCTCAGTGAGCCTTTGGTGCCCTAATATCCAACAGACAAGGGTTAAGCAAATGCATGTCTCTTATTCGCACACACGAAAAAAAAAAAGGTGACACCCCTAGGGTCAACACTTGCAGCAGAGGAGCTCCAGCATATTTCAACAATCCTAAGTATTGTAGTACAGGTTGATGGTAGTGAGTGGTGTCCCAGAGAACATAAAGGTATAGTGCTCTTGAAAAATAGGTGAGATAACAGGAAAGTGCTAAGGGAAGTGAAAAATCGGATGAGAAAAAGTTGCCCTAGTGTTTACAGTGCAGAGAAGAACATTCAAGATGGCCACTGGCAAGGGGAAAAACAAAACAGAGCTTGATTTTGAGGGATTCAATTAAGAAAGCATTGATATTAGCAGTCTACATAACAAGTTGGTAAATTTAGATACTATAGTGAACTCTCATGTAGAAATAATTAGTAAATTGAAAGAAAGTAATGACCATTTGAATAGCAAAGTTTTATGTCTTGAGGGTTTAGTGAAAGACTTGCGCAAGGATAAGAATCAATTGGAAACAAATTGCAAAGCCATGGAAGAAGAAAATAAACTCTTAAAAATAGCTTTGGAAGAAGTTAAAGTAAATTTAAACATAAATGACTACAATAGGTTAGGCAAGGAAATTCAACAGGAGAAACAGCTTTTGTCAGCACAGATGGAGGAAGTTACACAGGGAATAGAACAATGCAAGAAAGATATGCAACTCACTTATGCACAAGTGGCCAAGGAGAAGGAAAAAATAGAAGAAGCAGTAAAGGAAGTCAAACACTGCAGCAACCAAGATAAAACAAACATTAGGCTAGAAGTGAGGAAAGAATTGGCATCTAACCCGAAGTTGGTGCAAAACACAGTTGATCGGAGTAAGTCCCTGATCATTTTTGGCCGCAAAGAAAAGGTGATAACATCTAGGTCAGAAAGAGCTGTAGAAGAAGCTAAAGTAGTAGATAAAATTGTTGGCCTCGTGGAAGGTCTTACAAACAGAGAGAATGTGTGCGACTACAGGAGAATAGGCAGGTACGTAAAAGGGAAAGATCGACCTTTGAGGATCACCCTAAACGGTGCCATACAGATGGAAGAAGTACTAAGGAATGCTAGAAAATTGCAAAGGGATGAGGATGGGAAAGGGTGGTCGTTAAGACGAGATCTTTCAAAAGAAGACAGAGAGAAGCTGAAACTGAACCTCGCCGAGGCAAAACATTTAAATGAGAGCAGGAATGAAGAAGAAATAAATTCTTTTTTCTACAAAGTGATAGGGGTAGGCAAACCAGTAAAGTGGTACATAAAGGCAAACCAACAAAATCAATAGAGAGAGGGGGAGTGAAGAATAAGGAGAGGGGGAACAAGTTCCTGAAGATTGCATACACCAACATAGATGGAGTGAGATCGAAGATACTGGAGTTAAGTGATGTAATACAGCTGCAGACACCAGACATTGTTGCACTCACGGAGACAAAACTTGAAGATGTAATTTTAAATGAGGTCATATTCCCAAGGGGCTACTCAATTTGGAGACGGGACAGAAAAATTAGGAAAGGCGGTGGCGTTGCTGTGCTGGTAAAAGAACACCTAAAGGTGAAGGAAATAATGATTGCCAATCCACAAGAAGTTGACATAATAGCACTAGAGATCTGCTATGAGGATGATAAACTAATGATGATAAATGCATATAGTCCACCGCCAAGCAGCACATGGTCAAAGGAGGAGCTAGATAGTAAACGTGAAGGTCTTATAACAATAATGAGAGAGATTATAGCGGGAGCGGATAACGATAGATCACGACTGTTGATAGTCGGTGACTTCAACTTGAAATCCATAGACTGGGAAGCATATGAAGCTAAAACAGAAGATTTTTGGACCTGTAAATTTGTAGACCTCGTCCTGGAAACATTCTTGTATCAACATGTTAAACAAGCTACGAGGATGAGGGAAGGGGACGTTCCCTCCATGCTAGATTTGATATTTACCAGGAAGGAGGAAGAGATATTTGACATTCAGTACCTTCCTCCCTTGGGTAAAAGTGACCATGTCTTTTTGGGAATAAAGTATGCAATGCGTTATAAGCTGGAAGAAAATAAGGAGGTTGAAGCAGTTGAAAAACCAGACTTCAGGAAAGGACATTATGGTGACCTTAGAAATTTTTTTAGTGAGTATAATTGGACAGACTTGATGCTAGGCAAGGAAGTGAATGAGATGTATGGCAAGTTTTGTGAAATATATGATAAAGGCACAAAAAAATTTATACCAAAACAGAGATGCAGAACTAGGAAACAGGATTGGTTCAATAGAAATTGCGAGAGGGCTAGAGACCGAAAGACACAAAAATGGAATCAATACAGGAAGAGGCCGAACCCCCAAACATACCAGCGATACAAAGATGCGAGAAACAACTACACGGCAGTGAGGAGAGAGGCAGAAAGAAATTTTGAAAAAGGGATTGCGGACAAATGTAAAACAGAACCAGGTCTATTCTATAAATTCATAAACAACAAATTGCAGGTAAAGGATAATATTCAGAGGTTGAAAATGGGAAATAGATTCACGGAAGATGAAAAGGAAATGTGTGAAACACTAAACGAAAAGTTCCAAAGTGTGTTTGTACAAAATGAAATCTTTAGGGAACCAGATACAATAAGAATTCCAGAGAACAACATAGAACACATAGAGGTATCTAGAGACGAAGTGGAAAAAATGCTCAAGGAGCTCGGTAAGAACAAAGCAGCTGGCCCAGATGGCGTTTCACCATGGGTTCTGAGAGAATGTGCATCTGAGCTCAGCATTCCACTTCACCTGATCTTTCAGGCATCCCTGTGTACAGGAATCGTAGCAGACGGGTGGAAACAGGCTAACATAGTTCCAATCTACAAAAGTGGCAGCAGGGAAGACCCCCTCAATTATAGACCTGTATCATTGACAAGTGTAATAGTGAAAGTATTGGAAAAACTAATCAAAACTAAATGGGTAGAACACCTAGAGAGAAATGATATAATATCAGACAGACAGTATGGTTTTCGATCTGGAAGATCCTGTGTATCGAATTTACTCAGTTTCTATGATCGAGCCACAGAGATATTACAGGAAAGAGATGGTTGGGTTGACTGCATCTATCTGGACCTAAAAAAGGCTTTCGACAGAGTTCCACATAAGAGGTTGTTCTGGAAACTGGAAAATATTGGAGGGGTGACAGGTAAGCTTCTATCATGGATGAAAAATTTTCTGACTGATAGAAAAATGAGGGCAGTAATCAGAGGCAATGTATCGGAATGGAGAAATGTCACAAGTGGAGTACCACAGGGTTCAGTTCTTGCACCAGTGATGTTTATTGTGTACATAAATGATCTACCAGTTGGTATACAGAATTATATGAACATGTTTGCTGATGATGCTAAGATAATAGGAAGGATAAGGAATTTAGATGACTGTCATGCCCTTCAAGAAGACCTGGACAAAATAAGTATATGGAGCACCACTTGGCAAATGGAATTTAATGTTAATAAATGTCATGTTATGGAATGTGGAATAGGAGAACATAGACCCCACACAACCTATATATTATGTGAGAAATCTTTAAAGAATTCTGATAAAGAAAGAGATCTAGGAGTGGTTCTAGATAGAAAACTATCACCTGAGGACCACATAAAGAATATTGTGCAAGGAGCCTATGCTATGCTTTCTAACTTCAGAATTGCATTTAAATACATGGATGGCGATATACTAAAGAAATTGTTCATGACTTTTGTTAGGCCAAAGCTAGAATATGCAGCTGTTGTGTGGTGCCCATATCTTAAGAAGCACATCAACAAACTGGAAAAGGTGCAAAGACATGCTACTAAGTGGCTCCCAGAACTGAAGGGCAAGAGCTACGAGGAGAGGTTAGAAGCATTAAATATGCCAAAACTAGAAGACAGAAGAAAAAGAGGTGATATGATCACTACATACAAAATAGTAACAGGAATTGATAAAATCGACAGGGAAGACTTCCTGAGACCTGGAATTTCAAGAACAAGAGGTCATAGATTTAAACTAGCTAAACACAGATGCCGAAGAAATATAAGAAAATTCACCTTCGCAAATAGAGTGGTAGACGGTTGGAACAAGTTAAGTGAGAAGGTGGTGGAGGCCAAGACCGTCAGTAGTTTCAAAGCGTTATATGACAAAGAGTGCTGGGAAGACGGGACACCACGAGCGTAGCTCTCATCCTGTAACTACACTTAGGTAATTACACTTAGGTAATTACATATTCCATAACTGTACAAACCCAAGGAGGGAGCGAGAGACAGAGCCTGGTCTCGTGT